CATATATGTTAATAAGTTTACCTCTTTTCATTTCATTGTTCTTTTAACCAGTATGTAGTGGCCTTCTTTATCTCTTTTGATCAATTTTGGTTTGAAGTCTACTCTTTTGAATATCAGATAACTATACCTGCTTTTCCTGGATTCTTGTATTATGATATATTGTATTCAATCCTTTGATTTCTAGTCTACAAGTTTTTTGGGTTAAATGTGTTTCTTGTATACAGTGTACTCTTGAATTATGTTTCTTGATTCATTCTGCTAGCTCATGTCTTTTGATTGGGGAATTGGTGCCCGCCCCCCTGTACTGGAGATCAAACTCAGGGCCTTGTGCTTGTGAGTCAGGTGTGGTGCCACTGAGCTAAATGCCCAGTTGATTGGGGAATTGAGAGCATTCATGTAGAGGTATTACTGATAGGTATTGACTTATTCCTGCTATTACCTTATCTTCCTGCTGATGATTGTATTTGTTTGCCTTTACTTAACTGCTCACACTACATGATATGTCCATTCTAATATATCTCTCATCATTGTTGACTTCATTGCCTGTTTCTAGGCTATCCTTGAGAAATTTTTGGAATGCTGGTTAGTGGTCATGAATTCCTTTAGGTGATCTTTATCCTGAAAGTGTCCTATTTCTCCATCAATTTTGAAAGATAGTTTTGTAGGATATGTCAGCCTGGGTTGGAAATTGTTTTCTTTCAGGGCTTCAAGGATTTAATTCTAAGATTTCCTGGCCTTTATGGTTTGTGTTGGGAAGTCTGCTGTTACTGTAATGGGTTTTGCTTTTTAAGTAATGCATTAGATTCTTTTCTTGCGTTGGACTTCTGAGATTATTTTGACTGTGATGTGTTATAGAGAGGTTCTGTTCTCATTGTGGCTATTTGGAGTTCTATATCCTTCACTTATCTGTACATTGAATTCTTTTAATTTATTTGGAAAGTTCTTGGATATTATTTTCAGTGAATAGTTTTTGTTTTTTTGGGGGGGATTTGTTTTGGTTTTTGGTTTTTGGTTTTTGGGTTTTTTTATACCGGGATCAAACTTGAGCCCTTGCACTTGCAAGGCAGGCAGAGAGTAACCAGGTTTTTTTATACCATTTGTGCTACTTCTGATTTTTCACTAATTCCAATTGATTTTAAATTTCTTTGTGATTTGGTTATGATTTAGGGTCATGTTTCCAGAAAGATAAGTCAGTTAACTGTGCTATTTTAATGTCCAACAAGAGCTTATCCAAGTTACAAATTACCTATTCCCTTCAGTGCATCTGCTTGGAGAGCTGTTAGTATTATTAGGTCTTTTATGGCATTTCTATTTCTTTTTTGGCTGTTTTTGCATTCATACTTCTACCAGCTCTTTAGCAAGTTTTAGAAACATGCATTTTTATTAAAGGAACTCTGTTCATTTGTGGCCTATTTGTCTCCAAAGACAATTATGTCCTTGTTTTATGTTTTACTTATTTCTGGGAGTTTTGATTACATGTTTTGCTATTTAGTGCATATGATGTGTAGTGTGAACAATTTGTGCAGCTTTCTTTTGTGCTGCACAGCCACATTGTTCCCTCTAGCACACACACATGCACTTTCTCTTTGAGCTAAATTAATTAGAAGTCCTCAAATATTTTCATTTATTTTTTACCTTAGCACAGGGTACTGGTTTTTCAATGCCTTCAAATATTTTTTAAGTTATAATATTAACTGACAGGAAATAGTATTTTATTTCTAGGCTTATGGGGAGGAAGAAACCTGGATAGGAGACCCAAAAAAATTGATGTTTGAATTTCTGAGAAAGGAATTTACCGCCTGTGTTGAATACACTCAAGAAATAACTTCATACTCATTTCAGTATCCTTAACTGTGAAATGGATATAAACAGGGTTGTTTAGACAGGGAAAGGATTAAATAAAATGTGTTTCCAACAGATCTGCGTTACAGTCTTCAGGTGCATTCCTGAGAAGAAACAAGGGAGGCAGCTTTCCAAGTGAGAAAACTGGGGAGAAGATGCCCCTACGCTGAGCTTTCTCCACACACATCCTGCTGACCACTACATCCTTTATACTCAGCTTTTCTTTTTCTTTTTAAAATTAATTTTATTGGTATAGTTTAAATATACATAATGATCACATTCATCAAAGGGAGTTTGTACCCATACATGATATAGCTTGATCCCGTTTTTATGCTCAGCATTTCACTGGACCTTACAATGAGCAAAACATTTACTACCTTAGGCCTGATACTGCCACAAAGCAGCCTCAGTAATTTCCAATCACTGGGGTAGTATTTCCTGTTTCCACACACACACACTATCATCTGGGGAGCACAGACATTGGACAGAGGCAGTCAAAACTGGAGAAAAGAGCATGCTGGGTAGGAGTCTAAATATTTTTGTAAATTGAAATAGAAAATGTCTGTAAAACTATAATCTGTGTTTTCTATTTGGAAGTTCACTGACTCAGGACATATTTAACTGGGATAGTAGAAAATATGGGTAGCAGGCCACCACCAACACCCATACTCTAACAAACTGAAAAATACCACACCCTTGAAGAACTGGGCAGCAGAGATAGTGGGGTGGAGAGAAGTTCCTCATCTCCTCATTCCGAAGTGCCCCAGTCTTGTAACACCTGCTAGAATTTTATTTGTCAAACCACCACTTCAATGCTTTCTTTTAGGTGCATTCATCCATTCCTGACAATTGAATTAAAGCACTAATCACATCAGGGCATCCTATACCAACTTAAAGAAATCAGTGAAGGCCAGGACCTACAGACATGGATTTGGAAAAGAGATTAATTCCTTTGGTCCAACTCTTAGATAACCTTTCCAGTGTTGCTCTGACCTCCACATTTCTAAATTATATTTATAAGCAGATTGGAGTATTTCAGAATCACAAAGACAAAACAACAAAACCTTTTGATATGCAAATTAAACTAAAAACAGTGATAGGAGCAGGATGAATGAGCTCATCTGGAGTCCAGTAACTTATTTTGAGAATAAAATAGACAGGTGAGGGAGGAATTTATAATTTCTATTCCCAGGTGTTAAAGTTTTAAGAGGGTAGGTGGATAATGGAGGTGTTTAATGTTTGCTGCCTTATGCTGAAAATAGTAATAAAAATACCATCATTTGATGAGGTAGATGCCAGGCTGTGCAGAGCACAGCTGATATCTGTGTCCTTTAATATTTATTTTAGAGATCAGGAGACTGGGATTAGGCTCGGAAAGACTAAGATTGTGCAAGTGAGTGGAGCTCAGCCCCAAACCATGCCTGTCTCTCCACTCCATCATGCTGCTTCTCAAGATGGGACAAAATTCAAATATAGGAGGGATGTCAAATTCTAACCCATCCTTGAGGTTCACAGTAACTCTAACCAATAGCATTTTCTTTCAATTACCATACTCTGCTGAGGAACTTAATGACTTCATTATTGCAGATACTTCAATGGACACTTTTGTTGGAAGGCAGTCACAAAGAAACAGAAGTTAGAAAGCACATGAAATTTTCATAACTTAATGTTTCCCATTTTTTTCAATCTTTGTTTCTTTAAGAGCATGAGGTCTTCTTTTGACTGACTGATCCTAGGCACAGTGCCCAAATAGGGAAATGAAAATTGAGAAAGGTGTTGCTATTCAATATAAATGATTTGTGAAAGTTAAATGGTTTCTACTGGCTATAGAGGATGGTACAAACAAATCAATTATTACTGGACATTTTGGAAAACCAAGTGCAAGTAAGAGAATGTTTCTATTATCAAAGGAGTCATCTAAGCAGCCCTGAGAGGATTCTGTCTAATGTTCCAAGCCACATGGGAGGAGACTTGGTAATACCATACTGTGTATAGTGGAGTTTATTCGGCAAACCACTTACCAGAAAAATCTATAATGGATGGGCCCCTGCTCCTCTCTCAAACTGTGCTGATCCAGCACAGCTCTAAAAAAGGACAGAAACAAAAGGTATAGTTACTAGTCATGTACTTTGAATAGGAAAACAGGAAAAGTAAGATTAATTTTGAAGGATAAAAGAACACTATCCTAATGAGCTATTTAAGAAGAGAAGAATAAATACTGTAGTGATAACCTTGCCACAATCCTAGGGAAGATGGCTGCAGTTGTGTTGGTCAGCTGATGGGGAGTTCACAAACAAGCAAAATTTTGCATAGTTTGTTTGCAAATGAAATTGTTTGAGAGCAGAAGTGTTCATGAACTAAGGTAACAATGTATAATGTAATGAAATCTCAGTTTTCCTTTCTTTCTCAACAAGGGGATACAAAAAGAATTTAAGGGGCCAGGGATTTAGCTCAGCGGTTTGGTGGCCTGCCTTGCAAGCACAAGGACCTGAGTTCAATCCCTGGTACCAAAAAAAAAAAAAAGAGAGAGAATTTAAAATGTGTTCTGTGTACCTATGTGTACCTATTCCACATGATTGATGTAATCAATATGTGCTGAAAAATATACTAATAAAAATAAACATTTTAAAAATATATGAAAGAGGAACTATACATTTTTCTCTAGGCTCTTAGTGTTCTGGGAAAACAGTGCTAATTGATCAGTAACATGATAATTAAGCTTAATTATCTCTCCTTTGCCTTTTAGTCATGAGAGGTAGAATTTACTACATTAATTAGAAGAAAAATTATTTTCAATATTTCTCTCCTTATATTGCTTACACCAAACATATCTACTATCTGCACAAGTCTTGTAGTGGAGTCAAAATATAAAAGAATATTTTAATTTCACCTAAGAAATAGAAATTCTGATGAAGTGGGATCTTGACATTCATTTAACCTAGCAATACATATCCATATATAGGCAATACTGAGATTGCTTTATTCATATGTTACTAGAAGACTTTCCAGGTCTTGTCTTCATCCAGCACAGATTGATCAATCAATTGATCAACTGATCTATCATCTATAATTTGTGAATAAGCATTATTTTCAGCCACACTTCATAGTTAAATTGCAAGCAACCCCAAAGCAATTGTACTTTGTATCCTTGATCTTAATAGGAAATGTTGATTTTTGTGTGCCTTAGGGAAGAATACTTGTGAAAGTTTTCTTCATTGAATGTGAAAGTAGAGCAAATATACCACTCTAGTTTGTGCTAAAGAAAGTATTTGATGCTAGCAACTTGCATTGTTTTAAAGTTCATGCCAAAGAACTTTATAAAGGAGGGCAGAAGCCTCTTAAACAGTATTCTGAACATGAACAAATACTTCTCAGGTTCAGAACAATGCAAACAGTTTGCTTTTGGGGCTAAGGACACTTGATGCTACCTGACCCCTCCCTGCAGATCAGATCTTGCTGCAGACTCTGGAAACACCTCCAGTGAAAGAATTCATGTGGCCATCACCTCAGTATGGTCTTTCCAAATCTAGTGGATTCTTATAATCAATCTTCAAAGAGGGGTTTGGAGTCCTAACTACCTTCACTCAAACCAAACATAAATGCCCATGAGACAAGCGTGAAAAAGTTGTGAAATTTGCCAAATGCCGTTTACTTGTATCAAAAATCTTAGTACAGAACACAAGCAGACCATATGCTAGGTAAAGTGTGGAGTTAGGCACATGTATGCTTATTATGCTGAGGTATACAAACATCTATGAATATGCACATGTATATCCCAAATATTACACAGCCTAAGCTCTCATAAGTGAATACATGGGAAGATTGAACACATGTTGCAATTTTACTTCTAAACAAGTGACTGACAGTGAGGTACCCTGGTACTTTCTTCATGTAGATTTGCTGGTAAACTAGGAATAGAGTAATTCTTTTTTATTTATTTTTTCATCTTTTGGTACCAGGGATCAGACTCGGGACCTTGTGCTTGTGAGGCAGTCAGTGGACCTAGAGCTAAATCCCTGACCGCAGAATAGAGTAATTCTTGAAAGCATCTGTGTCACTTGTTTAAGTTCTGATATACCTGATTTTGCACATCACTTGGAGACAAACTGAATTAAAATGGTGATATCCATAAATTCAAAGACAAAAGAAAGTGGGGCTGGGTCAGGAGATTGTGATGCTTATATATCATAATGAGGGAAAAATCTTCAATAGGGTTTGAAGGATAGTCTTCAAGTTAGCTCAACTTTCACAAATCAAAATGATCAGTGTGCATCCGATGGCTGTCATTTTACCCTGAAAAGAATATCAGAAGTGAAATTTTAGAAATGTCAAGTGACCAAACAAGTATGTGCAGAAATTAACTTTTTTATTATATATCATATAATGTAGTAGTAAAGTTTGTTTGAAGTGCATGAATAAAAAGTTAGTGAAATTACAGGAGGAACAATCTATATAGCAATAATAGGTGCATTCCCTGTGCATCTGAAAGAAAAAAAAAAGAGTTTTCACTCATTTTGGCCTAAAACTTAGTGTTCAGGTTCCCAGGATTCTGACATCAGAACCCGGGTAACGCTGATTAGAACCATAGGGGCTTTACAATAAAAGCTAAAATATTGACCATATGATGGCAAAAAGTCTTATTTTGTGGTTAACTTATTCTCTTCTAGCTACTCTCTGATGAAGTTGGTGGCGCTGTAGAGGAGGACCTCCGCCTCCTGGAGGAGGACCGGGACCGCTCAGCATTGCAGGTGACGTGCTCCTCGTAATTCTCCATCTGCGCTTCGATGAAATCTCTCTGCTGCTGTCTGATGGTCTGGCTTATGAGCCCAGGGAGGGCGTGAACGCTACCAATCAGTGTCTCTAATTTTGTTTCTAGGGTAACAATCCTCTTCTCGAAGTCTTCACTCCGTTCATTTAAGTCGGAAATCATGTCATACATGATGTTCTGGGTCTGGAAAACAGGAAACAGGAATTGAGAAAACATAAAAATAGAGAACAAAGAGGCCTACTTACAACCTCTTAAGAGCTTTACTACTGGTTTATTGGTGGTGATGCCCTGTGTAACAAAGGCATCAGCTAACTGAACAGTTCACCATACAAACCAAATTCAGTGACTATTCACCACCAGGATTTAGAAATGTAGGAGGTGAGGCATTAATTTAAGTTTCAGAAAATGTGGTGCAAGCATTACTAGTGATATCCTCAATGATGTTAGGTTGTGTAAAGATAAATGAAAATGTTTTAACATTTTTCTGTGTGTTGGTTAATGGTTGTTAGAAAAGTTAGCACATCAAATTCATTTTGCAACTTGTAATATTAGAGCAAGGGCAGTTGTAAAAAGCAAGCAAATTTAAGCAGCAATAAATGATACAGATTGTATTGGAATTTTAAGGAGCAATAAATGATACAGATCGTATTGAAATATAACAAAAATTGGGACTGGAATAGAAATGAAGATTAATTGATTTGATCAAGTAATTTAAAACAACATGTTCTTAACTATCTTGTATTGTTTTTGCTCCAAATTACATAGCTTTTCATTGGGTAAAATAGAAGCTTTACAGGCAAATTGTAAAATAAAGAAAAATGAATTCTGTGTAAGAATAAAAGTTGGAGGATATAATAAAGTCACTGGTCCACCTTGTTGGGATAGCTTACTCAGAACTACATGTTCTGAAATAGGAAAATACTTTTCGTGCCCTAAAACTGAGTGTCCTGATAACAGGGCATTCATAAGTATGACTCCTAATTATAGTTCCTGAAGTAGCGGAGATATAAAGACAGCGGATTCAGGGCTGATCAGCTCAGAGTTAGCATGGAAGATGGTGGTCCAGAATACAGGGATGTTTCACTTGTACAGCCTTTCTCAAGTCCCAGGCCTCTCTGTCTCAGCTTTCCTTCTCCATTCCTCCTTACGCTACATGCTTTCACCCTGCTTACCACCCTCTTAACAATGAGAAATGCACTGATTAAATGAGGGAGTTATTATTCAGAACAGGTGCTCTGTTTCAGATGGGCCACAGAGGTAGAGCATTAACCTTACTTTTACTATATACCCTTTAGAACATGTGACCAACATCCACGCAAATACTGAACCTGACAGCAGCTGGGCCTGTGATCATAATGAGCATGACAGTGAAGAAGAACTGGAAACAACATCTTGCCTCCCAGATGTACTGAGGAATGACGAGCCTGTGCCGAGAGCCATCTTAGTGGAGGCTATCTTTATATCTCCCACATGTGCTCTCGGGTGACTCATTAAATATGTTTATACAGTATGTTTTAGAGAGATACATAAAAATGAATATGACGGAGATGTTTTATTTAATGAGACTAGGCCCAAAGTATAATTTTCATAGATTGAAATTGAGGCTATAGGAAAGAAATAATTTGTCAAACAGGCTATATGGATCCACTGAGAGCCGCTTCTTTCAGAACATTGAGTTAAGAGGCTGCACACTTACATACACACTATTCTAGTAATTCTTTTAGAATTGGCTCAAGTGGATGAATACTTTGATCACAGATTAAGTATTATTATGTTGAAAATGGATTTCATTTGGGGAGGTACAACCAAAGATCAGATGAGTCTTTACAAACATGGCAGGAGAACTAAGAGACTATTAATGTACTTTTCAAAGCAGAGTATGACTGTTGAATAATGAAAGAACTAACCATAAAATGTTTAATTTTGGGGGGAAGGGAACAACCTTTATTTTAGGACTCAATTTCTAGGGTCTTTCAAGAAATTTCAATTTTATATCCTTCTGATTTTATTTATATATATATATATATATATATGATCCATTTAGCCTTGAACCTCACAGTCACATCGAAGAGGCAACTATGTTCTCAGAGATGAGACTTCAGAATCCCTAAGATCCTGTCTCAATTCACTTATGTTTTTTATGGCAATTCCAATTCACTGTAGATAGGGGAGCTCTGAGGATGGGAGAGGGACAGAATGATGTGTATGATGGAAGATGACTATCACTTTTAGGGTGGTTTTTTTGCTTGATAATTAAATTTGGTATGCGCTCTTCCTGAAGCATTATGAGTGGCGATCCTAACAGACATGGCCATAAGGGCCGGGCACCTCAGATTTACCTTTGCCAGATCCACCAAGGTATTTGCTTGGTCATTCAGTTTCCTCTGCTCCATTTTTACACTTCGTAATCTAAAAGACAGAATCTGAAGTCAAAAACGTGCTCTTCTTTCTTTGGCTACCTTAAACTTTCCAAAGAGCATGCACAAAATTGACAAGGGCAAATAACTGCATGGATAATGCCTTGAATATCAGGGGTAAATTCCATACTAATTATGTATCTGGTACGATGAGAAGCATGCTTCCCCAACACCACGAAAAAGAAAGGGGAGAGAGCAAGAGATGAGATGTCCTCAGGACAACTGTTTACCAGGTAAGTTGAATTTAAAAAGGCTCATAAGGACTTAACCATATGAGAAAAAGCCGAAACATTCTTTGAAAAGCTCCAGTATCATGACAAATAGACATAGGAAGAAATATGCAAAGCAAAAGGAATTTCATCGATGTTGGAGCAATGAGCACCTTCCTATGCCTACGTGACTAGATACAGGTATTAACCCTGTTTAGTCTGAAATGAATTGGGTTAGGTATTTGAACCTGATGAAAACACAGTGATAAGTGAGATTCTTGTTAACAAAAGCAAAACTTATTCAATCAGCAGCAAGATAACTCAAAGCACATACTTCTCTTATTCTTCATAGTATTTCACTTGACTTTTATATTGTCATTGAATTTGAAAGGAGGCCAGACTATTTCTTTGGGAGAATCTCTCAACTTTTATGGCAGATAAAAGTTGGAAGACAACTAAAGTATTTGATGGATAGACTATCTATATGTCAGGTTACTTTTAGCTACTTTAAATATCATTTATATACCCGATTGACCACCAACAAGCTATAGTTTTAAAAAATCTTCTTGAATAAGAGCTTGGATTATTCTTTAACTTATTATTTCAATGAATATTTATTACTCAGTGCTTACTATGTTCAAGATCTTAAGATCTTTCCAGGAAGATGTGGTTTATCATTGTTTAAGCCAATAATTCAAAGCCTTGCTTCAAAAGAGAAATCAGTTCTTTCAAGTTATTTAATGAAAAAGGGAAGAAAAAAAATCCATTTTAACCTTATTTTGCCTTGATAAATCACTTTACAAAGTATTGTTTCAATTCTGGAGAGACTATCTTATTTTTCTATTTTAACTGTAAATAATTATGTACAAGGAATAAAAACTCACTGGGCAAGATTTTACTGCCAGGAAGATTTTTGTAACACATGTTCATGATGCTCAGTGATTTCATTCTGCAGCTAGGATTCCAATACGTTACCGAATCTGTTATGCAGCGAAGACGTAGTTCCTTCTGCCAGTATGGGTTTAACTGACACATACCTACCACACAATCTTTAACAAGCTAAAATAGTTTATAACTCATCCTTGTGATTATGTTTATTAGAGTACTTGGAACAAAGTTAACCAGCTCATTTTCATGCTACCATAGTGATGGAATAAGTTCTAGTCTAAAAACCATAAGCATGTGTTTAAAGCTATCGTATTGTTGAGGAATGTTTCTGTAGGCACTTACAAGGGTTCCAATGCTTGATGTGTACTTTTTAAAAGCAAACATCTGTGGTTTTTACAGAGAAGCATATAAGAGAAAGTGGTCATGTCGGGCGGAGGCTTCATTTTCACTGGCCCTCATTTGTTTTGCAGTTTCTACAGGTATGAAGTGAAGTGTGTGTCAGAGTGCTGCATCTGTACCAACAGAGGTATGAGAGGTGACTTTAAGTGACACTCAGGTAAGACTTAAATAATATCAAACAGAGAGACAGTTACTCTGAATTCTTCTCTAAGTCGTGATTTTTGCAAGAAAAATGCCTCAGGCTGGTCCTACCTTGTCTTTGTCTCCTGATAATACTATTTCCCCTTTTTAAAAAGAGTGGAGGGATCTCAGCTCAGAGATTTCTATAAGCTACAGCATTGTAGCTATGACTAGAATTCAGTACAAGTATTTCAACTGTCAGTTGACGATACCTTCATTTTCACTTTTCTTTGATATTAATGATGTTATTTTTCAAGCTAGGAATTTTTGTATAGGTGCTAAGGATCAAATCCAAGCCTTACACATATTAGGCAACTGCTGCACCACTGAATTGTAAACCCAGCCCTGTGACAGAAATTCGTATCAAGTCATTTTAGAAAAATTTAAGGAATAGCATAGTAAGAGAATGGCTAGAGTTTGGGGCTCTGGAGTGATGCCTCCAGCAATCTGTGCGTACAGAGCAAAACTTGAACTCTGCAAAGCAGGAGGAAAGGTGAATGGTAATTTCTTGTATGAAGTGGATACTTCATCTTAAAACAGTGGGGCCTACTTTACTTTTCCGGGATTACTAAATTATGTCTGACAGTAGAATTTTGCCCATTTTATTTTTTTACCAATGTGGAAAGCAGACATAGAGAAGCCTTGTTTGTTTGGAATTCCCTGTACTCCAATCATCTTTTCTGCTTATAATGTAAGGTGATCAGATAAAAACAGTCTGCTTAAACTGCAGCTGCCAGAATAAAAGGTAGCCTGCAGATGTGTAATACACTTTTTTCCCCCACAAAAAGAAGAATAAGAAACATATGTTGATTTCTTCCTTGTGAACTTCACTTATCACAGGAAAATATCATGATTTTGGATCACATTTCCATAGCAGCAGACTACTAAAATTCACAAATAAAGGATCCGCTGGGTACATGCAGCCAGTAGAAAATTCTGCAAATGTTGAAAGGAGCGGCTCACACAACTTACTTCCGAGCTCTATTTTCATTTTGTTGAAATAAAAAGACAAAACAAAAGAAAAGAAACTGTAAAATATTCTGGAACAAAATAACACAATGTGGTGTTCAGTTGGGCACAGGGGGCTCGATTCATTAGCTGGAAGATCCTTTTGGGATTCTGCACGATTTTGATATATTGGCCAAAGAGAAACAGTATTTACAATTTTCACCATCTTTCTTCATTGCTACTATGCTCGGCCCACCTGAAAGCACTTGGCTTCCTCTAGAACTAGATACAGTTTAGAAAGAATGTTCAAGTAAGCCATAGGAAACATTCTTGCCTGGTATATCCTCAAATGGAAAATGTTGTACACAATAGTATTACAGTGTTTTTTTGGCGGGAGTACATACTTTTCAATTTGAGATTATTAAGGAGCCCTCTGTTATATAAATTATGTACATTGCATTCCTTGGCTCTGAGACAAGTTCATGTTGACTGATGTGTCCACAGTTGGGACAGAAGAATGATCAACTTTAAAGTTAAAGCCGCTACCAGAAAAAGGGTTGAATGGCAGAGAAAGAGATCACTTCATGGCACTAAGTGACAATTCAAAAAGACTTATTATTGAAAAGAGGACATTGCCTGAAGAGTTCAGCACCTACCAGAGCCTAGAAAGCTCACATCCTGGGTAGAGAGGCCATAAAGTTTGGAAGAGAGAACGCGTTCAGCGAAAAGGGAGCAGACTGAAGGGCAGAGAGCTGCTAAGAAAGCTCTTAGGGCAGGTTAGAGACCAGGAGAGATCTGTGAACTGATTATAAATTTTTTCTTCAGCTACCAAGTCTGATTTCACCCAGTGCTGACAGATGAGGCTGAGTTCTCCCTGGATCTGAAAGAGCAGGAGGTGAAGGGCTTGGCCTGAGGAATCGAGCCCTGTGTGCTTCCCTCTATGACTCCACTCCCAAACTCCTACCGTCGAATTAAAATGCAAGGTAATTATGCATGATTCGATTATGTAACCAAACCCAGCCCATACAAGTTAACTTACTTAGCTTACTCATTATACTTTTTCACAAAGTATAAATGTTCCCACAGCAAAGGAAACCCAGTGACCACCAAACTAATGCACAAAACAATTCAGAGCATACAGGAGTTGCTTGAAGCTCATCTACTTTAGATGTGCACACTGCTAAGAAGAAACAGAATGAGAAATGTCTGACAGAAGCAGAAGAATCACAGAGGGCTTCCTCTACCCACAGGAGGGTTTCTACAGGGTAGATGCCTCCATGGCACACTAAAGATCCTATCAATGTGCCTTACAGGGCACATTTCCATGGGTCAGTTATTAAAATTAGCTTCCCTAAAGACTTTTTTCTACGGTAAACATTTTTCAAATTTACACAATACATATAAACATTCTCCCACTAGCATTTTTTGGTAATGTGAACGTACTCACAACTTGAAGTCTATGATGAGATAATAAATGTACACAATTTATACATGGCTATAGAGCTGTATTACAAAAACCGTCAGCATGTTTGGGAATGGCAAATCATATGTCACTCTACCTTTAACAGGTTACAGTGATAGAAAGCAAAGAAAATCCTGGAGGAAGGGGGATGTCTGGATGCAGGACACAGACCAACCATGTATGCTCACCGTCACAGTACCTCATGACTTCACCCTGGGGGACACATACTTATACCCAAGGTAAGTGTTCTTTTTCATGGACTCAGAATAGGCTGTACAAAGGTATTAAAAGTATAAAGAAACAATTTCTCTCTGGTATGCCATGGGTACCTCTAGTACCAATGCTGGGGTTGATTCATTGAATGTTCAAACATTTTCTGGCTTCAGGGGAGCTGTACTGGGGAGTCCCATGGGGAAGAAGCCTGTGTCTTAGTAAGGCAGGCAGGATTGAGGCACACGGAGGAGGGAACTCAGCAACTCTTTGGGGCTTACTCTCTGGATGTCTAGATTTCCAGAATCAAGGTGTCTAGGTAAGAGTTCTGGGGTGGGGTGGCCTGGGTTAGAAAGTCACTGAGCTCCAGGGAGCAAACTCTGTGAGCCAGATTTAACATACTGCTTTTCTCTGCACTTCTCTCTGACTTTATGAGTACTACCTTAAAATTCTAGCTATGTCTTTTCCTTATAAGGGGGGACAAGCATAATTGTATGTGTCTAGTCAAGTCACAGAGCTGAAGGAGATCTTGGAAAGTATATGTTGCCAATAAGGGAGCCATCAAGTGTAATCAGCCATGAGCAGTTACAAGAATCTGATCATCCACATATGTACCATTTCCCTTTAAATATCAAAATACATGAGCTTTATTTTCATTATGGAAGACAGCAATGTCCACAACAAATGCACGTAATTATAGGCATGTTCTACTTTATAGGAATACCAATTTAAGCAGGGCAGTTGGATGGACAGATGAAAGGGTACATAATAAAAGCTTAGTGATTCTTCCCAGAATGTTAGTGGTACAATCTTGCATAATCAAAAATAAAAATTCCAGCCTCACAGTTTTCTGGTCTGTTATACTAGTTGCACTGGAAAGACAAATATTATTCATATCTTAAAGGCAGTATTTACCCACCTTTCCATTATTACTCTGGTAGGTTCATAAGGAAAGCCACTTTTTCTGAGTCAGCATGTGCTCTTCCCCATACAGAAATGATATTAAGTTAAAGCGGGGCTGTATTACACCACATCTAACACCCACTTGAGTAATACTTACAGCAAAAGTGCTGCCAGTCTGGAGGAAAAGACCCTGTGTTTCCAAATCACTGACTCTTACAAGGTGAGAGATTTTTACCTTAAAAATCTATTATAGTTATATAAACAAAGAAAGGCATAAAGAACTTAAACTGAATAATGGTGATCTGGAGAAAGTTAGAATAATGACAAAAGAGTAGAAGACTATAGGAATTGTAAAATCTATAGTGGACATGTAGTATAAAGTCAATCCCACAGTCTCTGATTAAGAACTCATTTAAAATTCTGTGAATATACATATATACTGTTGTCATTTAAAGATGTTTAACAGTACAGGAAAAACCCAGGTGGATCATATGTTTTGTTTTTTTTTTCAAGATTTTGAAGGACAAAAGCTAAATACACATCAACTATCCTAAGAGAAAAAATATATAAATATACTAAGAAATATAATTTTAATACAGTATTGACTCCAGAAAGAAACTGAGGAGATACTTTAATAACTGAATATTCTATTAAATGATGTTTAATCATAAAAAACTACAGCTTTTCTCAGAATTTCCTTGATGAAGTTATTAAAGTGTGAGAGAACATTTTCTGGAAGCAATGCTTTTTTCTCCCTCACGAAAGAACAACTACCAAATGCAAGAGTTAGAAAGTCAAGGTTAAAAAAGCAGGATGCGAATGAAAACAGGTACTTACTGATGAATAGCTTGCAAGAATTTCCGCTGATGTTTTCTTACTTTTGCATGATCTATCTTTTTTACTAGCTTTGTATTTTTGTAAATTAGCCATGTTTCCCTGAGTACATTGGCAGCTGCATTTTTCACCTGTTTAGAAAACAAACAAATATAAATAACAGCTGATCAAATCCAGAGTGAAATCCTTTCCAACTCTGCTGGAGATAATATTCTTCATCCCAAGGATTATGGCAAATTGTAGCTCTAATGAGTAACTAAAGGAACACTTTTCTTGAATCTGTGCCTTTTTAGAAGTAGCTGTCTGGGAACATTAGAATTGAAGTAATGGGGAGACACTGCTACTGATCTAATTCTGTACTACACTCTACCTTACTCCAACAGGAAAATTTTTTTTTTTTAATTCAACTACTTCTCATCTTCCCCCACCCCACACACTGGTTTTTCCGACTTGTATTGCAACTGTTCTTTCCACATTCTTCATTTCTCTGGAGAAAGGCCAAATGCCAGAAGGCCAAGGTTAATCCTGTCCTTTGCAAGTCTTCTGGGTATTTCTGGCTGTGCACTACAAAAAAAGCACATTTCCACTGCTGAATGGCTGAATACAACCAGTGCTTATAGCCTCCTTCAGTGATTTAACAGTTCATATACTTGTTGACATGTACACTTTAACTGACAAAGATTCTTTGTTACTCAGATATTGTAAGAAATTTAAATACAGTACATTTCAAATGGACGGGACAAATGTAAGGGATGAAAGAATGAGAGTAACACTATGGAGATCTCCTGCAGGTGGCAGAAGGCTTGATTAAAGTTTCCAAAAGTTCTAGAAGTTAATAAAGGCCTAGCCAAGGATAGATTGTATCTTCTTTCTTGCTCGCAATGTAGGGTTTAAGGGCCTAGGGCTTTTCACCTGGACTTACTATGAATTACTTATTTTACAAAGTCCATCTACTTAATTGTGCAGAGTGACAAAGGGATACTTCAAAGAGAACAATAGGCTAGTGGAGTGATAAAGGGAAGAAGATAACATAAACAGGCAGTAGAACAGGCAGTGTAGTGCGGAAGACAGAAAGGGAAGCTGAGACTGAGAAATGCGTCCAAAATTCTTGACTTTGGACTAGCTAATCTCTGAGGACTTTCATTTAACCTGGGAAAGTGAGAAACTAAAGTCCTCTCATTGCTTGGATTTAAATAAGAGTCTCAAAATTAAACTATGGGGCCAAGTTTGTGCTTATATACATTTTTTTCCCACTTTTGCAAAGAAAACTTTAGGTTTGTTGACTAATAGACCTGAAAAGTAAAAGTGAAATTATATTGCTAAAATTCATGTTAAGAAAATAATTGGTTTCCTTTGAGTGAAACTACTTTTAGGAGTGACTAGTTCATAATGCACTTCTTCTGGATGTCTATCAGACTCAGCATGAAACACTTCCTGTAACCAGTGGAAAAGTGATAGAAACAGATGCTCAACACAAGGGGTGCATAAAAGTAACACAACACCCGCCACTGTGAAGTTAAAAGGACTCTTGGCTTGATCTTTACGCTATGGAAACACTTTCCTCAGACAGCAGTGAGAGTCACCTTTCAGAAGACATCCACCCCATCCTTTCAAAGGTAAAGATATGGGTGCAGAGCAGGTGCTTGAAGTTTTCAAGGCCTTATTTCAGAGGGAGGAATCAGAGAATGAGTTAGTAGTACTTGGGCTGGGAGAGCCCTTCCCTGCTAGGAAACTGAAGCTTGCGACTCTCTGTAGAAGTCTAGAGGATTACAAAGGAGCCCTCCAGGATACTCTGCCTAATCTTTTGACTCAGAGGTACAGAGGAGGAGCCCAGATCCAAGACTGGTCAAGAAGCCTGGAGAACTGGCAAAAAACCAGGGTAAAACTGATGAGACAGGAACAGAGAAAAATGAACATGGTAGCTGATTCTAGTTGGATTCCTAAGTCTATAAACTTTTAAAAAGGTGATTCACTGCTCATCTTTGATGCATTTTAAACGACTGATTTTCTTTCTCTTGTGATGGTGGCAAATGGCTGCTGGGAATGAGGAACCACAATCTCAGCATCAGTGAGGTGGGCAACACCCTTGAGGCCTTAGCTTGCAGGTTTTTGTTTTTTTTTTTCAGCTTTAATTGAGTTTATTGGTACATTTTAGGGATACAGTACAGCTTGCAGGGTTTTTATTCGCTAAGCACTCATTGCAGCTGACAGGCTTAAATAAAAGTAATTAACCAACTAAAAATGAAATCCCTACAACTCTTTTTAAAAACTTTTAAATATGTGAATTTATTTGCAATACTTTCTAACTTCCTAATAGGTTTTGAAACACAGGAATAAAGCCCTTATTAAAGCATCATGTTTCATGGCTGCTTTTCAACATGAAAGCCAAAAACAGCATTCCCAGAATTTAAAACAAAACAATACAATGCCCTTTGCCTATCATTTGGATGGGTTTCTAGCAGTAGTAGATCTTCTTGTTTTTCTTAGGTTGAAAGGAACAAGACAGAATGGACAGTAAAACAGCAGGGTCAAAAGTACTTTTGTGTTTTTTTTTACAGGTCTTAACAGTGGGGAGCTGTTACACAAAATAATAGGCAAACTCCCAACTGGGAGAAAAACAGATCTGCGTATTCTTCACCATTTAGCTCATAAGGAATTTAATTAGGAAGGTAAGTTTCCTTTATTTTCCTTAGGTCAGAACACTGCCCTGTAACAATTTAACTATTACTCCTCACTCACCTTCCCTGGAAAGGATTTGTCACTAATCATTGTGTCTTCCTTGTGTAGAGGTGATATTAAATAAGCATTTATGTTGTTAAATGGGCACCACAGCGTATCAAATTCACACATAGAAATTTCTAACATTAAAATACACATCATCCAAAGGACCCTTATGTGAATATAGACTGAAAGGAAAGATCTAGGCCCTAAATGGCTCAAAACATTTCCATATATGAATTCAACGTACATACAGAATCTCTCACTTGCTAGATATAGCGATGACTGGTATAAAGACATTTCTAGATATACCTATAAAGGAGCACAGAACCAGTGTGTTTCGCATGCTGTATCTTAACCAAGAGGAAATGGTAATTTTAGAGCTAATTAATGAAGTAAAAAATTTAACTGATTTCCTATTTTTCAAAAATAAGAGAACTGGGAATATAGCTCAGTAATAGCTCAGTGGAGTGCTGGCCTGGAATGAGACACTAAGTTCAATGTGTAACACTGAAAAATGTAAATAAAATAAGGAGAGTGAGAGGGAGTATCTTTGAGACCTTTGTTAAAAGGAACTTATCTTCACTTCTTACTGACTCTTTTGTATCCCACCCCAACAAATACCAACAAAAAGTAAAATATGAATGTTATTCCCAGTGTTCAACTCTTACTAAAATCTTCTACTAGGCAATTTTTGAAAGGCATATCAATAATCAGGTATTGAGATAATAACTTAAAATAACAAAGGGTATACAAGAACTCACACTGTTTATAATAGTACTCACCCAGATACTCTGAAATAAGTGTCACAGGAGTAAAGGCCATGGTATGTTACATTCCTGTCTCATAGGTAATTATAAGACAAAAAAAACTATAAGTGGTAAGAGAAAAATATTCTTAGGGAAAAAAGGTACTTTATAAAACACCAAAACACTTAAAGCAGATAGACTGCTGGCTGAAACTTTGTTCTGTACACATTTCTAAGATACAATGTCCTCATTGTTTAAAAGATGTTTTGTAAATAATTTCCCTTGTTTTGCATTACTCCAAAAATGTCTTCTTTATTTTTCCTTTTTACTCCTTTGAGTCCTTGTCCTCTTTTCTCAGAGACTTTTCCCCATAACACTGTCACTCCTAGCAAATTCAAGGGGACCCCACAGGGTGCCATCTGCTCTCTGCTGCAGGAGGGGTGGGGATTTGCTTTGCTCAGCCGTTCTCCTTCAGAGAAGGTACGTGGGGGATGCCGTGATTAAGGAACGGACAAAGCCAAGTAATTCCCTCTTTTCATGTTGTATCCCACCGGGCTGTGTGGCAAAAGACAGTGCAACATGCATGGAGTAAATGGTCTAGAATTTGGGGAGAGGGAGAGAAATTGAATGAAAAAAAGAATTAAGATATATTATGTACCTGTGCCAAATTCCCATGAGGAATGTAATCATTATGAACTGCAAACAAACAAAAAAGAGGCCCACAGGAAATAAATAGGTGTAACCATATAATAATGTTATTATGGATATTCTTGCCAAATTTAACATAAACTTAACAGATTGTAAGCATGTTCATTGGGCATTCATATATATAATTATCCTTCCTGGTACATTTATCTAGCAACTTTAAAAATTATGTCAGGGTTCTTGAAATTGCTTCAAGTTTGTTTCTAATATGAAGGTATTCTGACAACAAACTAAGTGGTACACTCACGAATGAACAGTAATAATTTCCAAAAGATGTAGCATGGTAAACATACTGGCTCTATAAGATGAAAAACTGTAAATGTACTGTGCAACTAGTCCTATTCTAATAAGTTAGATTTCAAGTTTTGGTATTACACTTTCATTTGAAATCTTTAGTAACTATATTAATCTGGGGACATGTACCCGGTGACAAGTTTTGAATTGTGTGAAGTGTCATGTGAATTTCCAGAATTACGCAGAACAGCCTTCCTCAATACTGGCACATGATGACTAGTGTATTTTACTTTCAATATATAGTATTTTGCTTTCAAAAACAGTGTTTCCTTTGGTTAATATAGTCATAAAGAGAAGTGATTCTATATAAAATGGTTCCCCTGAAAATTTGTACATAGTGAATAATTTTTCATGGTAATTGTTCCATTCAGTGAAGTCATATACTTGAAAGCTTGAAAGGCTATATTTGTTTCTGGGATAACTATTCTTTTAATGTTCGTATTTTTTTTTACTTTAGAACCATAATCATATTTCAAAATGTCTGTTAGCCATTGGAAGAAATTATTTTTCATATATAGTATTTTAGGAAATAGTTGTATTTTTTCTCTTTTTTCTAATACTATATAGTACCTTGAATTTATAATCTCTCATCCTAGTAGCTATATTTTATTCTCTCACTTTAGTAACTATGTATGGCCTTCACATCTTTACTTGCTATTGGTTATTCCCCCCAAATCATTCATAAATGATCATTCAGCATTTTAGAATTCTTATTTAAAAAATATAAAGTGATCTGTTTAGAATTTCCAACAATAACTGAATAGACTCAAGTTCCAAGTATATGACACTCTTTAAGGTGATGACTTCATATAAAATAATGAAGACAAGGACTACAAAAGGGCTATTATGTTCATATGTTGAGCATCATAATGGCTATCATAAAAACCAGACATTTATGTTTTATACTAGTGCCATTTCAGTGTTTACACTTAGCAACATCATGCCTAGGAAAATTGATCTGTCAAGAGCCAGGTGTGGTGGTGCCTTCCAGAGCATCAGAAGTCTAAGTCCAGTCTGGGCAACTTAGTGAGACCATTTCGCACACAAATAAAGGCAGGGATGTTGCTAGTGCAATATCCCCGGTTCAATCCCTAGTACCAAAAGCAAAGAACTGTTAGAGTACCTGCTTTGGTTGCTGGAAAGAATCAAATTAAAAGAAAAATACTGCAAAACAGCTGGACTTTTAAGAAGTAATAATGAGGTGCTATACTTAATAAAGCATGATGGGCATTGTGCAGAATGTGAGCTTTGAAATTAGAAATTTACCTTTTTACTGAAAAAGCTTTCTACAACTTTATCTATAGTCACAAAAATTAGTAACAAAAAAGGTGTAACCCTAGAAAACTTAGTTTAGGGAAGGAGTTCCATTCCTAAAAATTTAAGAAAGGTCACCTGAGTCTAGACATAGGTCCTGGACCCCCAGTCCTCTACAGGGCTCCCTGACAGGGGTTTAGGGGGCCCCTGAGCATCACAAATAACACGTGTGTTTTTCTGTCAAGCAGGATAATCAGAGCTTTCATGTGATTCCAGAGTGGTCAATACTGTAAAAGCTTAAAATTTTTGAGTCCTAGAATATAAAAATATGTATTTCATCTGTATATCTTAGCAGCTAACAAAGAAATATGTCTTATTCCAGGGAAGGAAGTATTTTATGAAATATGGGGTAATCTGTCTATGCATTCTGTCTTGGCTTTCCTTCTTGTGATTGTTACGTTTCTTTCTTTTAAACATATATAATATTTCAAAGTATTTTTCTGCCCACTATCATAAGTGTGGCATTAATTTAATTTTTGAAGATGTAATCTTAATAAAACTATATGGATTACTCAATCACATTTGTAGAGGCAGAGGAACTCTGCTTGAAAAGTTATCAAATGATGATGCACTTTGTTATTATCCATGACAGCCCCGTTGATTCCCACCTTGGACCATGATGGCTGATATAAAATAATTTTCAGTTATGTATTTTGATATTTTAAGTGACTATCAAAAAAAAGAGCAAAAATTGGGCTGAGGACGTGGTTCAGTGTTAGAGCTTTTGCTCTAGGTGTGATCCTTATAAGAAAAAAAAAGGTAAAAAATTTAGTTTATTAAAAATGTTTTTCTTCTTACGTGATTTTAGGGGGCCCCTGAGTATGACAATGATGAGGACTCTGATCAAATTATCCATCCTACTGTCTTGATGTGCACATTTATCAAATGTTCATAATAATAGAACAAAACACATTTACATGTTCACACTTGAAGCAGTGCCTGCCAAGAGTCAGTGGACTGTCAACACCGTGATTACTATTTTACTCCTCAGAATCACATGGTGATGTTCTGTCTGGATGCCATGCCTTTTTCAGCACTCCTGAGGCCTCTAGGGCATGGAAAGGCCTGTCTCTGCCCCTAACGTGGGCTTCTAAAATTTAGGGCCTCTTGTTTTCTTTGCAATCCCTGTCCTTTGAACAGTGACTTGTTCACAGAAACCATAGAATTTCCTTCATTTACTTTACCATAAAATTTCTATTTTACATGGATAGTTTGTTCTTCTAATCTGGTATTGGTTACATCTTTGCATACTGCATTAAATGTTAAGTGAACCTATTTGTCTAGAGTTATGTGAGCTACTTTTACCCAAACACCAGAGTTATCTCATTATTTCCTAACTGACCTCAAGTTGAGACTAGTCTATTCTGAGATTTCAAGAATGTTTCAACTTTCAAACCATGTCATTTCACTTCTTATGTCAAAACCATATTTCTGAATATTGAAGTAAATGTAGTAGTAGTTTCTGTGAGGACACATAGATGGTAACTTACTCTTTTAGTCAGCTGAGTATCCATCATGAAATTGTGCACGTGCTTTTCTGCTTTGGTAAGTTCTAGCTTTCTTGCCACTACAGCTACCACCAGGGCTGTGCAACCCGCACCCTGAAAACAAGGAGAAAAGAGAACCCCAAAGTGTTACTTTGTCAGATTACAAAATTTATATCAAATGTATTTTCTAAAGATTAAAAAAAATTGTACCCTTTAGTTTTGTACCTCAGAAAAGTGTGTGATCAACAAAGGTAAGCAATGTTTTGTTGTTTTTTGTTTGTCTGTTTGTTTTTTTGATACCAGGGATTGAACTGTGGACCTTGTGCTTACAAGGAAGGTGGCAGAACCACTGAGCTAAATCCCCGGCTCATAAGCAGTGTTTTTTAAAGCCTAGTTTACCTATTGTAAGAAATAAAGCATGATACTGAATAAAATAATTGTATTACAAGAAATAAATGGCAAAAAGCTTGCTGAATTTTCAGAGACTTCTTTAAAAACATAGTAAATCAGTAATTATCTATAATTATAAGTTAGGATAGATGTATGGGATAGAACTAAATTTTTTCTTTAAAGAATTACACTCAATCTTTGGAGATGAGATCAGCAGGTCTTCTGGCCAATCAGCTGCAGTGTACTAGGAATGAAGGGGATGAACTGTCTTGATATACATAAAACTTCAGACTGTTCCATGTGCATCACAGAATAGCACTACAGGAAGACCACAGTGCTCTGAACCTGGACAACAGAGGTGTGTGCTGGGTAGAGCATAACCACCCTAGTATTTACAGGTTTAACTAGCAGTAAGAATGCCATGAGTCACCTTCATTTTCAAGAAACCAACAGCGTTCCTAACTGAATTATAGGCCATTTAGCTGATCTTTATGGTGAAAGAGTTGTGACCCTGTGTGGTACCCCTGCTATTATAGTCCTCCCTTCCATCATCATGGTGTACTGCTTCCAAGTTGTGCGGGCTTGGCTGAAAGACCAGTGACTAAACAAAGGGTCATGAGGCAACATCACGCTGCTGCAGCCACCTCACCCTTCCTGGACCAAGATAAGCTGCTGCAAGGGCTTGTGAAAGAGAAGTCACATCTCCAGGCAGAATCTCAGCTGTGAGAGGACAAGAGAGCATCAGAGCCTGCCAAGCCAGCCTTAGTAAAGAGGTCACAGAGAATCAAGGGCAGGCCATATGCAGCAACCCATGGAAGAGGAACACACAAAGTAGATCGTCAGCATCCTTGTGGATCTCCGAGTAAATCAGACACACTCTCTCAAGTAGTTTATAATAGCATCCCTCTATGGTAGTAACCTAACAGAGTAGCATGCTCAGAGGATAGATAATTCAAGTAAGACTCTCAAATTTCCATGAAGTAAGATGGGTTCCTTGATTACAAATACATCTAAAAAAAAATCACTAGTTAAAAATAGCAATTTTGTGTCTTCAAAATACAGTGATCAGCATCTAAATATCTAATATTGAAGTTTCATAAAAATGACTTTAAATATTTTAGACATAAAATTAAGATAGAATATAACATTTAAAAGGTAAGTTAGAAAATTGTATGCACAATATTCTTCCAATTTCAATTTTTAAAAAATTCACATTGGCAAAAGAAAAAAAAATTGAAAAAAATCACCTGCAAAAGGAGGTTATTTCTAGGTACACTTAGAGTATGGGTTCCAACTTGTACTTTGTGCTGTCCTGAAGTCTACATCTTCTATTAATCAAGACATTATTATTTATCTAAACACTTAGTTCATTTATGGTTTAATATTTAACCTTATCTTACATATCTTTACATCAACCATAAATTCAACCTAAATGATCTTTTTTCACAAATCATAGTTATATTTTATTACATAATCAATTATATAGTATTTTCATTTTTCTTTGAATCAATGTGATTTGGCTATTCAGATGTGGAACAAATAATGAATTTTAGTAGTTATTGAATGAGTTACTGCAATAAATCTCACAGCAGAGAGCTGAGTGAAAAGAAAGGGAAAAAAAGACATGTACTATCCTGTCTTCCTCCAGCCTGATTAATTCTAATCATGGAGATACGTTCTTAATGATAGTTGACAGTTTAAATATATTTTCAGAAGATCTGAATATCCTTTTTGTATAATTCTATGAAAAAAATCAGTATCCTCAGAAATTAAGTGCTATTAATCATATAATCAGAGAATAAGGCTGGAAGGTAGATATTATCTGGTTCAACCTTCTGAATTTATAGATGAGACAACTAAAACAGAGTTAAGTGATTATTTAGTTATGAGCCTTCACTAGCTTTGTTTCCCATCCTTTATCTTATCTCATGATATCTACATCTATAAGATCACATATTTTTAAATTTATGATCATTTCACTACCCATGATGCGCTATGAGGCACTGTATTTCAAAACAATAAATTCATGTTCACCTTATTTCATGTGATTGACTCTTAATACATAGATATTTAACATTGAGCAATATAGTTAATTATCAAAATAAATCAACACTGATCCTCTTTTTAAAAAAAGAATAACTGGTGCAACTTTTAAAACAAGTAGTTCTCAACCTCAACTGTGAACTAGACTCATTTAGGAGTTTATACAAATCACAATGCTGAGACTGTGTACCCAGCCTATAAAGTCCTAATCTCTGAGGATAAACCCCAGAAATTTGTGTTTTTAAAAGTTGTCAATATGATTGCAATATGGGGTCACTGCTTTAAATGAAGGAAGATGTGAAGGAATATGGCAAATTCCATAAACCGCTTAGTATTCAAGGAAGGCAGGGGAAAAACTTACCAGGGTTATTTCACTTATGAAGATATTAAAAAATAAAAGAGGCCGAGTGTGTGATCCTTTGTGTCTTGTGCAGATAATGAAAAGGTGATTTTAGAAATGGATTCCATGAAGGAAAAGAATGGCCTTCAAAAGCGTCCATTATCATTTCATTGACCTTTAAACATTCAACACAAAATCTAAATCCTAATGGCAGACCAGTGGTACAGGCTGAATCAGTGGCCTCCATGACAGAACAGCCACCTGCACCTGCCCACTGCACAGGAGAGCCCGTTTTTCCCAGACCCAGGTCACCTGTTGCAGGAATTCTCAGTCAGGGAATGCTGGGAGATTCATGGCAGCAATGTTTCTACAATAAGCATAGAATGTAAAAGTCTGAGGGGCTCCTAGCTGCTTAGACAGACAGCTACAAGAGTGGCACAAGAAGTTGAATATTGTTCTCCTCTGGCAGGCGGCCACTGTTGAGATCCTTCTGGAAAGAAATCAAAAACTTCACAGGAGTGGAAAATCACTGGAAATCAATTTCTATTTTTGTTTATTTTGGTCTCTATTCTCTCCTGCTGCTGGCCCATTTCTTTCTCAGTGTTCTCTCCCCCATACCAAAAGATTTGCACATTAAAAGGAGTACTCGGGGCAAATTGGAGAAACAAGTGAATCTAACAATTTAGTAATCACTGAAACTATAACTTATATAGTATTTCATTATCCTAATTGTACCTGTTCCCTTAAAATACACCTCCAGAGACACTTAGAAATCTTTTCATTCAAATACGAAAACATTTAATCCTTGTCTTATTTTAATTAAGGAAAAAACATACACTCTAGATTCTTAGTATATCATAAGAGGATTTGATACATATAAGAATTTTCAAAAAAGTAGGAGGATGTCAAACTCAAACCCAGCTAGGGCCTGTCTCAAATCAAAAAATTATGAAAAAGGATTGGCAGTGTATCCTAGTGTGAAGTTCCTGGGTTCCTTGTATCACAAAAAAGAAAAAAAAGTAATCTTTATTATTTAATTTTTAGTTATGCAGAATGAAACTGGCTCAGTTCAAAAAGCTTTCCAGGCTCAAGGTAAATTCCTGCCAATGCACTAGTGGTTAATTTAAGCAATGACACAATGTTACTGTCCACTGTCTATTTCCAGGCCTAATCTGTTTCATGTGAGTAGAAATGAAATGAAAATAAGTACGTTTTTACAACATTTTTTCCAAGGCTTGTCATCACCACAATTCATGTAGAAACAGTTGGGACTAACATATGTTACTCTCTGGAGTTAAGATCCCCTCTATGCCTTTAATAAGATGAGTCATATTCCCTTCACCAAAATTAGAAAATATATCCTGGTTTCTTATCTCTCATTTCATTTGTGTTCTCAGGAAAATCAAAGCAAATCACTAACCTGTTCCTTCAAAATGCTTAGGTACCTAAAAACCAAGGGAAGAAAGATGTGTTTATGAAGCCAAAAGCAAAGGTTGAGGTTTTCCTCAGCTAGTTTATTATCTCTCCTAACAGATTACAAGTTAAAACAAAGAGAAAGGAGAAGGGTAGAGAGAGATGGACACCTTTCCTTAGAAAACAACAGGCTTGTTACAATCTTTCCCATAAGCAAATCACACTGAACGATGATAGCCAGGCAGTGTAAGATCTAGTGCGGTTCTAATACCTAGCCAGTCTTAAAATTTAAACACACATTTCTGTATCTATAATCTTCATTACAGCATAGAAATCATGAACCATCTTAATGGCTATAACATGAAAGTCCAGGTAGCCTATTTTTCTCAATGTTATTTATCACCTAATGTTTGAAAAAACTCACGGAGTGACATGTGGACCCTACTTTCAAGAATCATTCTGAAAGACTACTTCAGGATCAAGCTTTAATAACAAGTATACAAGCTTATTAAAAAGGAAAATTCTTTCAATAGCATGCTAGCGAAAGGTTTTGATGATTTTCTTATAAAAAAGTATCTTCTCAAAATCCAACACAATGAAATTTATACATATATTTTTCAAATTCTAGAATCCTCAACCACCCTGGAGAATGGCTCTGATACTAATGTTAAAAATATTCCAGTCTTAAATTATCCTCCTTGTATAATAACTCCTGAAATTTCAAACTGTATTCTGATTGCAAATTTATTAGACTTCAGTTCAAACTGCAGTTTATCATAATATGGTTATTTTTTAAATATCTTGCCTTATACGTAAAAATTAATAAGACATCTTTCATATTAACTTTCATTTTAATTTCAGTTTGTCCCCCAAAAGCAAAGTAAAATAAATAACTGAAAACATTGCCTGTCACTGGAGTTGACAGACT